AGCCCTTAGTTGGTTCGTCGACTACTTGTCCGGCCGCAAGCAGCAGATCCTCATCTCGCCTTCAACCAGCCCTGCTCTGGCTTGCACCTGCGGAGTGCCCCAAGGCTCTGTTCTCGGCCCTGTCCTCTTCAGTATATACACGCGCGATGTTCCTTTGGTTTCCTGGCCTGTGCCAAGTGTACAATTTGCAGATGACATAGCCCTGTACGACTCCCAGGCCTCAGCGGCGGAAGCGTCCAGAACCCTCACCACAGCGGCAACTGCTCTGGCCGGTTGGCTGAAGTCCCGAGGCCTCATCTTGAACGCCACCAAGAGCCAGGTTCTGAATATCTCTCCCCAGCAGCATGTACAGGAAGTAACAGTCAAAAGCGGCGACTGTCTCCTCCCCTCAGCGTCTTCTGCGCGCTACCTCGGCGTTCACCTTGACAATCGCCTAGATTGGGACACCCATGTAAACTATGTGGTCACCAAGGTTGCCAAGAAAATTGGCGCCTTGTGGCGGGCACGCCGAAGCCTATCAAGACGCTCTCGTCAGGTGTATGTGAAGGCGGTCATAATGCCCGACCTGCTTTATGGCTCCTGCTGTTTCTCAGCCGCAATGCGAGAGGGTCAACTGAAACGACTGCAAACCACGCAAAACAGAGCCATCCGCTGTATAGATGGCAACCCGCCCCGGACAGCCATGCAGCCGCTGCTCACTGCTCACTCCCTGTACCGTGTCAGCGAGCTCTACAGGCAGAAAATATTGATCACCATCTGGCGGTGCATCCACGCCCGCACCAGCCCTGTGCTCGCCCAGCTTCTGACCCCAGCACAAGGCACCCCTACCCGCCATCAGCAGTCAAATGGCCTACTAAGCCAGGCAAACCGTAGCCGCCGCGGTCAGCGGAGATTTTCTGTTGCTGGTGCTCTGCTGTGGAACGCTCTCCCTGGTGAGGTCCGCACAATTACCCGGCTACCTGAGTTTAAGCATGCATGTGTACCATACACCTGTAGGGAGTAGTTGGAGTTGCTGCTGATCGCTCTGCTCTCCCTCCCCGTGCAGTTCAGTAACCCGCACGTAGTATCACAGATACATCGTATTCTCTCTCTCCCCCCGTTTACCCGCAGTTATTAGTATCCTATTCTCTTACTATGTGCTTCCATAGCTTTTACTATGTTCTTCCATAGCCACTTCTAGGCTAAGCCTTCGCCGTCATTTTATTGGGTCGTCATCCCGTTTGAATGTGCGAAGTGAAATAAAAACCAACCAACCATGGCCAAGGACCATGTGGCACGGGACTGTCCCCGCACCAAGGTCATCATGGTCTCTGGAAACCGTACATATGCCTCCGCTGTTGATGAGCGGCATCACAGGCACCCTGACCCCAACAGCGCGGAACAAGCGACAGGCGATGAGTCTCTGCCCCAGGAAAGCCGGTCCGTGCAAGATGAACAACAATCATCTGTGGACTCAGCCAATCCTCCACAAGGGCTGCAGCAACAGCAGCAGGCCTCTACACCTGTTGCTCCATCGCTGCCACCACCATCCCGAGGTAAAGCCGCCCACTCCTCTCCAGATGAAGAAGGTTTTACCCTAGCATCGGGAAAGCACACCTTCGCACCCCATGTCCTGACCCCCACCCAGCTGACCCCCGAGCAGCAGCCAGCATTCAATGTCGACATACAACAGCAATGGGCAAAGCAGGCCAGCGCGAAAGAGATGGCCGATGTTGCCAAACTAGTAGCCGCAAGTCATCGACGACACGTACGAGTAGGAGCAAGGCATCAACGGCACTTGAGCAAGTAAGCATCCTAGTAATAGTGGTCAGGAACATTTTTGCGCATATCAATTTGTATTCTACTACTGTGCTGATTCTGCCGACCCTCTTACAAATGGCGTCTCTCAATCCCCTAGCACCCAGCTTTTTCCCCTCTCAGTCAAATCTAACCAGGCCTACCAGTATATGTCCTACTCACGATGCAGAACCCCTCCCTGCCCTTCTTGCTGATGTGACATCTAGCCATCCACCCTACACGCCCATAACACATTCATTCCACCTTAGGATAGGCCAACTCAACTGCCAAAGCGCCACTCATAAGATCCCAGCCATTGAGTCGCTACTACACACTTCGTCCCTTGACCTCCTATTCCTCTGTGAGACGTGGTTCTACCAATCACTGCCGGATGCAGCCATCTCAATTCCCGGATACAGCCTCATGCGTAAAGATAGAGACGGTGCCCGACACTCCGCGATAGGCGGAGGACTTGCTGTTTATATTCGACAATCGCTTATGTGCCATTTCCAACGGCGGACCGACCTTGAATGCAAACTGGAGCACATTTGCGTGGAATTTATAGAATCGCAGAACAGTCGAAAGAATACATTCCACATGTTTTACAGGCTCCCTCACCGATCATCAGCAGAAAAACACGACTTTTTTGTGTCCTTCCAGTCCACCATTGCCAACGCACTGTCAGCCTCAGGCACGACAGTCATTCTCGGTGATTTCAATGCCAAACTCCGACAGTGGAACGCAACAGATGTTGATACGGCAGAGGGCAAACAGCTAGCAGGATTGTTAGACGACCTTGCACTACAGCAAATTGTCCGAAACACCGCAACGCGATACTCAGCTACGGGTAGCCAGTCATCACTTCTCGACCTGGTTATCACAGACGCAGAGCATCGTATCTCCGACCTTGAAGTCCTAGATCCGCTATCAGACCACTGTCCCATAATCTTTAAATATCTCTCAGGAAAGCACACCCCAAAGCACCCGCCGCCCCGCTTTGTACCAGACTACGCGAACACTGACTTTCAATCTCTACGACAGAAACTTTCATCTCTTCCACTCCGGGAGTGTATGCTCGGTGCTTCCACCATCGAGAGTGCGTGGTGGGCATGGGAGTCATGCATCACACAAGCCATTGCCAGCTGCTTAGCGTACAGACGAGTTTCATCTCGAAGACAGCAAACCAAGCCTTGGTTCACCCCGCATCTGCATCACCTTCATCGCCAGAAGCAGCGCCTTTTCCGTGCCGCCAAGCGCCACCAAATAGTAGCATACTGGTTAACCTACAAGGCCCAGAGGAATGCATTATCAGAACCAGTTAAGAAATGCCAAGACCCTGTACTTCAAGCGCCTCAGTGAGAATATTCACGATGAGCAAGATGCCCACCTTTGGTGGAAGAAAGCCAAGACACTTTCCAACATCTCCTGTAAGAAAGATAAAGTTCCTGACCTAACGTGTGAGGGCTACACGGCACAGAGCGAACCAGAGAAAGCAGAAATGCTCGCGAAGGTATTTGAGCGCCAGTGCACTCCTGCTCACGGTACAGGTCCAATACCAGCACCAGCCGACGACTGTCCGAATGAATTATTCTCTCTGCCAGTCTTGGCCGAATCCTCAGTGTACCGGGTGCTCCGAAGGCTCCCGCAGCATAAGGCAACAGGCGGGAACATCTCGAACAGGATCCTCCGAGAGATCGCACCATGTATAACGTCCTCTGTTACCAACCTGTTTAACGCTAGCCTCACCTTAGGTGAGTTTCCTAGTGCCTGGAAGCTGGGAACAGTAATCCCCATATTTAAAAATAAAGGTAACCCGTGTGATCCCTCCAACTACCGCCCTATAACCCTACTCCCAGCTATTGCGAAAGCACTAGACAAGATTGTCGCCACCAAATTCGGTCACTATCTCGAGGTCAACAACATCATTGTCCCGGAACAGTTCGGCTTTGTCCGTGATCGCTCCACAGTTGACCAGCTGATACAGCTCACTACTAAGATCGCCTCGACCATGGATAAACGCATCCCTTACGATGCTGCATTTCTCGATTTTGCGAAGGCCTTCGATAAAGTGCCGCATGACGTGCTTCTCCAGCAACTCGGGACTATCTGCGATGCTCCGGCTACGAGTTGGTTTAAAAGAACTACCTCGATACGCGTACATTCAGCGTCCGCGTCCAACACCATCTGTGCTCCCCACGTCCCGTCAAGTCTGGAGTACCTCAGGGTTCCCACCGGCCTCGGGCCATTGCTTTTCCTGGTACATATCAACAGCCTACCCAGTGCCTCGAAACGCAACCAGCACGCTGATGTTTACCTGTTCGCGGATGACACCGCCGTCGGCCAAGCACGAACCAAAGGTACCAGCCCAATGGAGACTGCCCTGCAGGACACATTTGCCTGGGCCGACCGAGTAGGCGGAACCTTCAACCCATCGAAAACCGTTGTTATCTCATTCGCTGAGGAAGGAGCTGCAGAGACCATCCGCGGTATCCAGCCGTCAACCAGTCACCGTCACCTGTGAGTGTTGTTGAGTGAAACACTTAGCTTCCAGGAGCATATTTAACAGACAATAAGCAAGTTTAGACAGCGCTGCGTTCTTCTGTGCCATATGGCTGACCGTTTAACAGGAGACATCGTCAGGAAGCTGTACCTTACGTATATATGTCCGCCCCACAGCAGAATACACCGCCCCAGTATGGGAGTCCTCCCTCTCTGCTGCACAGCGGCTCACCCTTGAACGGCTGCAAGCCAGAGTAGCTCGCACAGTCATGCGGCTTGAGAGATGCCCTTGCCCATCAGACGAGCCCAAGTCATCATTGTAGTGTTTTAGTCCGTGACTCACAACACCCAAAACAAAGCACATCCGTAGTTCACTTGTCCAGTACGCAACTGGTTGAATATTACAGAGTAGAGCAATATAAAAAAGAAGATAATGGAGGTAGTCCAAACACACGAGATAACTAGCATGCATGAATGGATAAATGCCAAGTGCGGTCATTCGACACTTCCATAAGGTCTAGCATTACCAACAATAGTCTGGCCCTCAGGTGATTCACAATGTCTGTGGTTACAAACACCACAGTCCTCCCTTCTAAAATGGAACATACTTCTGGGACTAGAGTAAAGATCGTAAACGTCAAGATGAAGATTGAGACAGAGAAACATGAGCATACAGTGATGTGTAGTTCTGACATGATCAACATGACCGGGACTGTTTCTACTTTCTACAGGCCCAAGCGAGACACTTGCTTGCGTGTCCGCAGCGATCGGCGTAGAGTCGGAGTCGGTGAGGCGTCAGTTGTGTCGTTGGTAGCGTCAGCCTCGTGCTGTTGTGGCACTACAGCCGGCTCAGGCTCGGGTGCTTCTGCTGCGGTCGGGTGCTGCACTGGAGGGAGACATGGTGCAGCCCCAGATTGTGTCGGCTCATCCACTATGAAGGACGGGTGTCCCGCACGTAGCTGATCCAGGTGTCGCTTCCACTGTGCGCCTTGGCTGGTGACAATCATGTACGTACGAGACCCAAGCTTCTCGAGTATGGTCGCTGGGATCCATCCGGGATGGTTGACGTTCCGGTAATCCCGTGCTAGAACGGCGCCTCCAACCTCGAAGGATCGTGCCTTGCCAGCAGGCTCTTCGGTGGGCGTCTTGGCGTTCTGTTGTGCCGTCGACGGTCGCAAAAAATCCAGACGTGATCGTAGCTGACGGCCTAGGAACAGCTTCGCAGGCGTTGCGTTTGTAGCCGGATGGACTCCTCGGCGGTAGCTCATCAAGAACCGGTCAGCAGCAATATGTGCAGGCGTTGACTGTGGTACTGCCTGGATTGCCCGTTTAAAGGTCTGGACGAACCTTTCAGCTTGGCCGTTCGTCGCTGGATGATACGGCGCTGAGCGTCTGTGAGCGATGCCGTTCGAGGCGAGGAACTCGGCAAACTCTGCAGACGCAAATTGTGGACCATTGTCGCTGACGATAAGGTCTGGGCAACCATATCTGGCGAATACTGTCCTCAGACTCGCGATGGTAGCCAAAGACGTTGTGGAAGGCATCGGAATGACTTCGGGCCATTCTGAATAGGCATCGACAATGACGAGCCACATCGTTTGCCGCAATGGACCAAGGTAATCTACGTGGACGCGCTGCCACGCGCGGTCTGGCATGCTCCATCGGTGCACTGGTGCTGCAGCAGGTTCGCTCTGGACACTTTGGCATCCGAGGCATGCTTTGACTGCGTCTGCTATGTCGCCGTCCAAGCCCGGCCACCAGAGGATGCTTCTCGCCAATGCCTTCATTCGTACCATTCCTGGATGGCCTTCATGAAGCTCTGTCAGTACAGCTTTCCGGTGGTCCGGCGGAATGATGACGCGATTGCCCCATAGCAAGCACTCGTTGCTAACGCTGAGCTCGTTGCGGCGTTGGAAGTACTGCTGTAGCTCTGCTCTTGGGCACGACTTCGGCCAACCTTGTTGCACATAGCGGTGGACCTCACGCAATAGCGGGTCGCTGGCTGTTGCCTCCTTGATCTGCTCCGCCGTTACTGGGAGTGGTTCGCATTGGTCCATGTAGAACATGTTGACCGCTTCCTCTGCCGTATCTGGAACTGGAGGATTTCCTACCGGCAGGCGTGACAATCCGTCGGCGTTGCAATGCTTGTCTGTTTGGCGGTACATGATCGTGTAGTCATGTCCGGCCAGGAACATCGCATAGCGTTGAAGACGTGCTACGGTCATAGCAGGCAGGCCTTTCCTCGGGTGGAAGATTGATACCAACGGCTGGTGGTCCATGGGCAGCTCAAAATGCCGGCCGTACAGGTAGTTGTGGAAGCGTTTCACACTCCACACTATTGCGAGCGCTTCACGGTCGATCTGCGAGTATGCCTGTTCCGCATTCGAGAGCTTTCGAGAGGCATATGCGATCGGTCGCTCTTCTCCAGATGGCAGGATGTGTGACAAGACCGCTCCAACCCCGTATGGTGACGCATCACTTGCGAGACGAACGGGCAGTGTCGGGTCATAGTGTGTGAGCACCTGTTGGGATGACAGCACCTGCTTGACCTCTTGGAAGGCTTGTCGGCACTCATCTGTCCATTCGAACGCCGCTCCTTTTTGCAGCAGCGCTGTTAGTGGACTCAGGATAGTTGACATCTTCGGAATGAAGCGTTGATAGTAGGTGATGAGCCCCAGAAAACTGTGTACTTGCGGCACGTTCTCCGGTGGTGGAGCATCACAAATTGCATCAACCTTGCTCGGCATCGTGTGCAGGCCTTGTGCGCTGATGGCGTGGCCGCAATATTCCACTTTCGGCTGAAAGAAGTGGGCATTTGGCCAGGTTGAGTTTGAGGCCCGCATCAGCGAGACGTTGGAGCACCTTCATCAGCGTGTTGAGGTGTTCCTCCGGTGTGCGGCCAGTGACGATGATGTCATCAATCATGCACTTAACGCCTGGCAGGTCTCGTAGCAGAGAATCCATGGCTCGTTGCCATAGCGCTGGAGCAGACGCAATCCCGTATGGGAGACGGTTGAGTCGAAACAGACCCAGATGGGTGTTGAGCGTAAGCAGGGGCTTCGACTCGTCGTCCACCTCCATCTGCGTGTACGCTGCCTTCAGATCGAGTTTTGTAAACTCTTGCCCTCCGGAGAGTGAGGCAAAGATCTCCTCGATGAGCGGCAACGGGTGTTGGTCGATGTGGAGCTGGGGGTTCACCGTCACCTTGAAGTCTCGACATAGCCTGACCTGGCCGTTTGGTTTCAGAACAGGTACCACAGGTGTTGCCCATTCGCTCCACTCCACCGGAGTGAGGATTCCCGGCAGCCTCCATGCGACGTATCTCTGCTTCAACCTTGGGTTTCAGCGCCATTGGCACCGATCGTGCCTTGACAAACTTTGGAGTCGCATCAGACTTCAGCGTGAGCTTGGCTTTCGCCCCCTTGAACAATCCTTGTTCATCATTGAATACCGCTGCAAATTCACGTTGTAACTCCTGGAGTGAGGATTTCACATTCCTGATAGCCGCCAACTCTGTCCAGTTGAGGCGAAATTGCTGGAGCCATGTGCGTCCTAGCAATGCTGGGCCCTCGCAGTCGACCACGTACAGCTCAGCCTCCGCTTGCTGACCGTTGATGGTGACAGGCAAGCGCAGCACGCCTTGCGATCGAAGCGATTCACCGTTGTAGGCTTGCAGCACCAGTTTTGCTGGGCGAAGCGGGTGTTTGGAGAACAAGTGCACGTATGTTGCGGCTGGTAAAACAGAGACACCAGCGCCCGTGTCTACTTCCATAGATAACTCCTGTCCCGCGATCTGTGCGGTTATCGTGAGTGGTGCTGGTGGCTTTCCGCTCGACTGGATCTTGGAGACACGCACATAGCGAATGCTGGACTGGTCGTCCTCGTCGCTCGCAAACAAATAGTTGTGACCTGTCATCGCTGAGCCTTTGCGCTTGAATGATCTGGGTCGCGGAGTTGGTCGCGCTCCTGGCTGCTCAGCTGGCTTGCTTCGGCAGACCCGCTGCAAGTGGCCTTTCTTACCACACGCATTGCAAACTTCGTCCTTGTAGCGGCAGTCAGGCGCCTTGTGTCCAACGCCACCACAGCGAAAACACGTAGATCGTGCACCAGGCACAGCTGCACAGGCTTTCTCGATGGGGTGCGAAGTTTGTGGACACCACCGCTAGCGTTCTTCGTATCCGTCGCGGAGACTTCCAGAGCGTCCCTGGTGGCCAGCTCATCAGCCAGCGCGTCCTTGACGGCGTTGTCGAAAGTCAGTGCGTCCGTGGCCAGGAGTTTCCTCCGCGTACCTGCACTCCTCAGTCCGCATACGAAGCGATCTCGCAGAGCTTCTGCAAGATGGGCATTGAACTCGCAGGTCCTTGCCAAACGGCGAAGTTCAGCCACGTAGGCGGCGATCGATTCTCCTGGACGTTGGTCCCTCTGGTAGAATCGGTATCGTTCTCCAATGACAAGTGGTTTCGGTGCGAGATGTCCTTTGAGAGCCGCGCAAAGTTCCGCAAACGTCTTGTCAGTTGGGGCGTTCGGGGCCAGCAAATCTTGCAGCAGCTCAAATGCTGGACCTCCGATGACCGTGAGCATCGTTGCTCGCTTCAGGTCATTATCATCGATGCCGTTGGCTGCCAAATACTGCGTCAAGCGTAGTTCGTACGTCGACCAGGTTCCGCCAGTGACATCAAACAACTCAATGTGTCCATGAGTCGCCATAGCCGGAGCTAATACTAGTAATGCTCGGAGCACACTAGAAAAAACAAAATCTTCGTCGCCACTGTAGTGTTTTAGTCCGTGACTCACAACACCCAAAACAAAGCACAACCGTAGTTCACTTGTCCAGTACGCAACTGGTTGAATATTACAGAGTAGAGCAATATAAAAAAGAAGATAATGGAGGTAGTCCAAACACACGAGATAACTAGCATGCATGAATGGATAAATGCCAAGTGCGGTCATTCGACACTTCCATAAGGTCTAGCATTACCAACAATAATAGTCTGGCCCTCAGGTGATTCACAATGTCTGTGGTTACAAACACCACAATCATTGTCTAAACAGCTGGGCCATGGGGTGGCCAAGTCTATCCTGGCGCAGGAAGATCGCCTGCCTTATGGAATTCTTCCATTTGGTCACCACCCAACCAGAACTTTTTGAAGCAGCGGGATACTGCTCACGCGTAGTCGCCGCCGCCAACTCGCATTCACTCTGCCACGGGTTGGGAAACACGCCGGGAGGTCATTTCTCTTCCGCACCGCTACTGTCTTGCCTTGCCCGCAGAACTGAGAGCTACAGCCTCGCAGTCCCTGTTTCACAGTCACATTTGCACGCACTTCTCTGACACCAAACACAATGCCACTCCTCACTGACATGCCTCTGTCCTCCTTCTTTGAGCGTTGCGCTTATTCTTATTAATTTTTGTGTTTCTGTTTCGGTACATTTCGTATTTCAAGGCATACCCCGAGGCTATAGGTATCATTGAGTAAAGGACCATTCTGGAACATTCAGCATAATTGTATTTCTCTTGCTAGGCTGTTCATTACGAATCATTAGCCCTCCACTGTCTGCTATCTCAACCCTACAGCCTCCCATTATAATGGAACTCCCTTCAATTATTTAGACTACGTCTTTGGGAAATCCTCAAATATATATAATAATAATAATAATAATTGTAAAATAGAAAAGGACATATGGATACGAGTTTAGAGTAACTCTCCATCACTGTAACATGATACTATATACAGTCAGAAAGTGCAATAACTAGGCACAAAACTGACAGAGTACTGAGACATTCGACGTCCTGACACCTAACTTTAACACATCTCCGTAGCGCTAACCGACAGCGCAAAGCTTCCCTTTCTTTACTTATCTTTGATATTTATGACCCACCCAAGTTGGGTGGTGTGCTGCTTTGCTGCTTCGAACTGTAGTTAGACCGCTTTGTCAAATATCGTACTGGTCTCGTCATCGTCCAATAACAATCGACATTCTTTGTTCCGTTGGGACTGTGGCTTTTGCTCGTTTTCGTTGCGCTTGCCTTCCCCTCTTTGGTCTTTTCCATAACCTTGAACCTTCCAAGTTGGAAGGCTGTCGGTTAGCGCTACGGAGATGTGTTAAAGTTAGGTGTCAGGACGTCGAATGTCTCAGTACTCTGTCAGTTTTGTGCCTAGTTATTGCACTTTCTGACTGTATATAGTATCATGTTACAGTGATGGAGAGTTACTCTAAACTCGTATCCATATGTCCTTTTCTATTTTACATTTATTTATGGCTCAACATCCGAGTTTCAAATAATAATAATAATAATAATAATAATAATAATAATGTGTACAAGGATGCAAAGATGTTGCTGGTGTCGCTCTAAGAGGGGAGATACTGAAGCTAAACTGTAGAGACGTTGGGAGGAGAATGTTTGATCTTTGCGAAACAGGATTTTTAAAAGCAGACGCTGGTGTATTTCAGGGTTTGAACAAGGGCCTGAGACAGACCGCACCACGCTGTGTCACAGTAATCAAATATAGGTAGAATATACGACGTAAAGAACAATTTTCGGCAATGGTCATTTAAATGGTGGCAGTGAGGTTGCAACATGCCAAGGGAGGAGCTAGCTCGCTTGCATACTGACTGGACCTGTGGGGACCAGGACATATGGCTGTCGAATATAACACCAAGGTGTTTGTGTTCATGAACAATTTTAACGTTAGCAGTGGCGTGTCCAGGATTTGGCTGAGGGGGGGTTGCGGCCGGGATCAAGGCGGGATGGGGTGGGGGTAGATGACATCATGCTACTGTCCCAGGTCAGCCATTTTGAAAACCAATGTCAAGAAGCTCCTCCTGTAGCCCCTTCTTCAACAGTTATTCACCCGAACGGCCCCAGAGACTGTCCCGGAGGATCAGCGCACCACAAGGGGACAAGTGTCGAACTTGCTTCAAGTTCCCTTTCTCCGTGGGCCTGCGGTACGATCCGATCGAGCATGATGTTTTGGGGAAGCATTCTCTGGAACGCTCTCCCCTCTGATTTTAGAGTGATACGTGTCCCTGGTCCCTTCCGAAAAGCTCTTTCTGCCATTGATATACTTACTTTGTCCTCGTTAAACTTTTATTATCTGCCATAAATTCCAACCTTCTCATCTATCAATCATTTGTGCATGCATGTCTATAAAATCAACCACGTGTTCCTGACTCCATGAGATAGTGTTCGTCCATTGAGGAATGTAGCAAACGCCTCAACCATTCCAAATTCATCCATAAAGGCATTTCTGAACGCATTTTGTCCATAATATGAATGTTTTGTCCTCATTTGCTTCAGAATATTTGAATTACATGCTGGCTTCATTCCAATATTCCCTTTGTCGCTCAATATGCCATAATATGTTTTTCTTCTTTTCTCTTTATGTTCACCACTTATCCCCCTTTTTTCTAAACATTTGAACATTTACACTGATGTATGAACATTTACACTGAAGTATACATTGTTTTTGTTTGTTGTTTTTTTGGGTTTTTTTTAATTTATTTTTGGTCCCATCGGCCTCTTCATATTTGTGCAGCTGCACTGTTGAGCTTCCGATGTAAAACAAAATAATAATAATAATAATAATCCCCGCGTGCTAGTTTGTACGTGAAGTGTGTGGGTTACAGTGAGGGCTGCGTCCCACCCGCCTGTGTGGATTCACAGGAAGTGTGAGTTACGGAGTCTGAAGAAAACGTTGAACGGTCTCTGCTTGGATGACGACTACACCATAGCTCAGCGGTTAGAGCATCGCTGGCTACAAGCGAGGGTCCCTGGTTCGAGTCCTGGTGGTGACAGTCAATTTTTTCTTCAGACTTTTCCCGTTTGTCTCTTTCCCTCAAAACCAGTTAATATTTTATGACTTGGGGCTCCCCGCGTGCTAGTTTGTACGTGAAGTGTGTGGGTTACAGTGAGGGCTGCGTCCCACCCGCCTGTGTGGATTCACAGGAAGTGTGAGTTACGGAGTCTGAAGAAAACGTTGAACGGTCTCTGCTTGGATGACGACTACACCATAGCTCAGCGGTTAGAGCATCGCTGGCTACAAGCGAGGGTCCCTGGTTCGAGTCCTGGTGGTGACAGTCAATTTTGTTGTTGTTGTTGTTGTTGTTTGGCTTTATTTAAAGTGGAGTTCCAAAACAGGCCTAAACCTAATGACAATGGTCCCACTGATAATAAGAGAAAAGAAAATATAATCATAAGCGGACAAACAGAACCAAGAAGAAGATACAGCTGTAGTTTTTCTTCAGACTTTTCCCGTTTGTCTCTTTCCCTCAAAACCAGTCAATATTTTATGACTTGGGGCTCCCCGCGTGCTAGTTTGTACGTGAAGTGTGTGGGTTACAGTGAGGGCTGCGTCCCACCCGCCTGTGTGGATTCACAGGAAGTGTGAGTTACGGAGTCTGAAGAAAACGTTGAACGGTCTCTGCTTGGATGACGACTACACCATAGCTCAGCGGTTAGAGCATCGCTGGCTACAAGCGAGGGTCCCTGGTTCGAGTCCTGGTGGTGACAGTCAATTTTTTCTTCAGACTTTTCCCGATTGTCTCTTTCCCTCAAATCCAGTCAATAATAATAATAATAATACAGAAATAGACATGAGTGGCTGTACGTGAGTTGGCAACATCATCGTGAGAGGTAACACAGCCAGAAACGGACAAGAGCATGCAGAAAGATACAGAAAAGGACAAGACCATACAAAGGGAGCGAGGGGTAGCGCAGCCAGAAAAGGACATGTGCATACAGAAACGGACAAGAGCATACAAAGGGAGCACATTGCGAGGGGTAGCACAGCCAGAAACGGACATGTGTGATCATCACTCTTGATCATTATATTATGCGATATTTTCCTGTACATTTGATATGGTTTGCTTCCTGAAGTCCATCACAATAAGCGATATATCGGTATAGCCGATAAT